GGCCCATCGGGTGCCAGTCCCGCCGTTGGTCCCCGTTGTCCTTCCACCTGGTTAGGCAGAGCCCAGAGGAGCTCCGGGCAGTGCTGGGCTCCTGATGGGCTCCTCTGGAGCGGGTCCAGATCCCTGGGATCCCTTCCCTGGGTGCAGTGGCCGTGGGAGAGCTCGGCTGGGGGAGCGGAGCGTGGAATCCACGTGGCAGTGCCCAGGCTCTGCTGGGGGGTCTCTGCTGGGGGGTCTCTGCTGGGTGTCCCTGCGGGGGCTGCTGATCCCTGACTGTCCCACCCTGTGTGGGGTGTTTTTCAGTGGGATCTTGAACCTCTCCTGTCAGAGGAGAGGGGGGAGAGCCCGAGGTGTCCTGCAGGGCTGTGTGGTTCCAGCCTGTGCTCGGGACCAGCAGGATTCACCTTGGGAAGGGGCTCGTGGCTGGAGGAGAGGAAACGTGGAGAGAAATCCTCAAAAAGCTCTGTAACAGTGGAGTTTGGGTTTGGAAATGGAGAATATTCTGTCTCCCCTGTGCTGGGGGAGGCTGCAGGAAGGGCTCCATCCTCCCTGGCTGCTCCTGGCTGATTCCATCAGCCCTGGGGCACTGGGATCCCGTCCCATTCCCTCTGTTTGAGTGGCTCTTGTTCCTGGTCTCTGTGCTGGGTGGAGCTTTGATGGGATGTCCTGTGGGACCTCCTGATCCTTTGGCCTCACACCAGCACTGGCAGGGGTTAGATGGAGTTAGGAGTTGGGATGGAGTGGGTTGGTTTGTAAGGGACCCAAAGCCCATCCAGTTCCACCCAAGGACACCTTCCACTAGCCCAGGTTGCTCCAAGCCCTGTCCAACCTGGCCTTGGACACTCCCAGGGGTGGGGCAGCCACAGCTTCTCTGGAAAATGCATTCCAGTGCCTCACCACCCTCACAGGGAGGAGCCTCTTCCCAGTATCCCACCTCCCCCTGCCCTCTGTGAGGGGTTTGTGGTCCCTAAAGCACCAGGAACACAAACATCCCTGGTTTGTGTCTGGGAGGAGGCACACGGGGCCTGGTGCTGCTGAGGTGATTCCTGTTCTCCATCCCTGGGAGAGCCAGGATCACCCCAGGAGGGCAGGCTGGGCATGTCCAAGGGGCTCTGGACCCGCTGCAGTCGATTTAA